GACCAGTGGTACTCTACCCTGGTGCCAGCGCTACCACGGGAGAAGCCTGGTTGGAGCCCAGCTGAGAAGGAGTAGAAGGCTCCTCCCTCTGGACTTGGTGTTGCTGCTGGAGGGGATGACAGGCTGTCTCCCCTTTGGAAAACCAGTCCTGCTGATGAGGGACAGGACCGACCATCCCTACCCCCTGTGGTTTGGGCAGAGACAATGGTGCCAACCGCACCGGTGTTGGGCTTATCATCTCCCCTTGGTGGGGTAGGCTGCCGCTGGGGAGGAGGAACGAGGCCCTCTCCACCCGGTAGAATACTCTGCTGCTGGGGAGCAGGACTGACTGTCCGTACTCCCTGTAGCTTGGGCGCAGAGACCACGGTCCCATCTGCGCCGGTGGGGAGCTTAGTGTCTCCCCTTGGTGGGCTACGCTGCCGCTGGGGAGAGGGGGTAACAAGCTCCTCTCCCTTACACTCTCTCTGATGGTGGAGAGGGGGACGGACTGTCTCCCCTTTCAATATATTGTCCCACTGCTGGGGAGGAAGGACGGCACCTTCGGCTCCCTGGGACTCACTTGACTGCTGGGGAGAGGGACCACCTGTCTCCTCTCCTAAGAACACAACTGCCGCTGGGGAGCAAGGACGACACTTTCAGCTCCCTGGGATACATACTGCCGCTGGGGAGGAAGGACGGCACCTTCGGCTCCCTGGCACTCACTTGACCGCTGGGGAGAGGGACCAACTGTCTCCTCTCCTAAGGACACACACTGGCGCTGGGGAGGAAGGATGGCACCTTCAGCTCCCTGGGATACATACTGCCGCTGGGGATCCTCGCAGGACCAGTCTAGGAGGTCCGCTACCTCGGGTACTGTTGGTTGCTGTTGGAGAAGAGGACCGGTTGTCTCTTCCCAGGCCTCATTGATGAGTCGCAGGTAATCCCACTCCAGGTCACATTCCTTGGCGACCAGATACCGTAGGTCTGCCTTGAGATCAACAGCGCTAGGGAGACCCAGCATGTCTTCTCGGTCGTAACATAGGTCCCAAAAACGAGAGTCGGTAGCTTTTCCAAAGTCCTCATCGTCAATATTATCCCAAAATAGGCCAGGGCCAGCGTAATCTCCACCCTCTGGGAACTCATACTCTGCCATCTCGGGGACACACTGAGCTGCGTACCACTGTATCGCCTGGTATGCGTCGTTGAGTGCAAGTTCTGCATATACTAGAATCTTGAGTCTAGTCACCCACGTTTCTTCGGTCTGTTTTCTCAGGAGGGGCATCCGCTCTAACATTCGAGCCAGGATTCGCTGCCTTCTGCTGCGGCGCCGATCCCCTCGCCAATACTGTACTTTCTCTAGGGCTTCGTCCCACAGCCCAGCTCTGGCAATCTCTCTGCAACAACATGTCCTCCTCTGAGTAACGGACCGTTTTGCACACAAGAGGTTAAAAAAACGGTTAGGCAATTAAATACACAAACAGCTGCTGCAAGCACCAATCTCCGGAACCGCAAACACACAAATTCACCAACTCAGGAACACACAAATTCACCAACTCGGGAACACACGAATGCTGTTAAACAGCCGAACAGGAAAAACCATACGAACAGCTTACAGTCCTGGCAGTCGCACTGTAACAGCATACAATCCAATTCCCCCACAAAAACGAGATGACACTTCGTTTGAGGGTCAAGCAGAACTGATTTACTGGGGCTACCTGTCCGGCTTTTATGCAGGTCTCCCACCTGGTGGACACTCCCCTAGGGGACCAGATGGCCTTGAAAAGCACGGGTTTGTATGATCCTTTTCACTGAACGCCATCTGTTCTCTTGAGTTTCCATGAACGTGGTTGAGTATGGAGGTCTCTGCGGTGTTCGCGTGGTCAAGTGTCCGATTTGGGTTCCAGACACTCGACTACTAAACACCGCTGGTGCGTTCGTATGGAAAGATGGCCGTCGCCACGTGTTCGTATGCCCAATGGCTGCCACCCAGGGAATACCCAGTGTGTTCGTGTGATTGGCACTTAAGGTAGTGTGAATAACGATAGTGAGGTGTCAATTAGTGTCAAGCTCCTCTCCGGGGTGGCCTTGTTGTTCGGTAGATTGTTCGTTTGTCGAATGGTACGACTTCAGATGGTTGAAAGTAGATTCTTACCTAACAACTAGACGAATGATATAACAGATAGCTTGTTACTTGTTTCTTCTAAGTAATCAACAGTGGCAAATAGTGTAAAATACTGCAACAATTAAAGGTAGGGACAGCCAAAAATAAGAAAGATGGTGAGTAGCAAAACAGTCCGCTACAAGCATCAGCTGACCGATCTAAGTCAATCATCGGTGCCCCTCCTTGGCTATCTCGAGCTTAATTTCTGAAAGCAGATGTAGACAGCAGCAGGAAGGAACTGGAAGGCTAACTTTTAAAGTTAAAGGGACACTAGTCAACAGAACAACTACAGCTTATTGAATTTGTTCTGGTGAGTAGAATCATTCCCTTCAGGCTTTTTGCTGTAAACACTGTCTTTTCAGAGAAAATGCAGTGTTTACATTACAGCCTAGTGATAACTTCACTGGCCACTCCTTAGATATCTGTTAGAGATCCTTCCTGGGTCATGGTTGCTTAAAATTCATCCAAACATCCAGGATCTCCTCCCTCTGCATTCAGACACTGAACTATCCTCAGAGATTCATTAATTCAATTTATTAAATAGAGATTCATTAATTCAATGAGGAGATGCTGATTGGCCACGGCTGTGTTTGAATTATGCTGACTCTGCCCCTGATCTGCCTCCTTGTCAGTCTCAGCCAATCCTATTGGGAAGCATTGTGATTGGATCAGGCTACCGCTTCTGATAATGTCAGCAGAGTGCTTGTTTTTTTCTGAGGCAGACAAAGCAGAACCAGCAGCTTCTGGCTTGAATACCGTTAGATTTTTACTATATGTATGGAGGCATGAGGAGCCCAGGGGGGTCTAGATGGTGGTTTTAACACTATAGGGTCAGGAATACATGTTTGTGTTCCTGACCCTATAGTGATCCTTTAAGGGAGTGCCTTGACCTCACAGCACCATAACTTTATTTCTATGTTGTTATGGTGCCCTGGCTTTTCCTTTAATTTTTGTGCACAAAACTATAACAATGTGAGGCGCAAAAAGAAAAAAAAAAATTGTATAAAGAAAAGGCACTGTTTACATTGCTGGCTAATTACACCTCCAGTGGCAGTCACTCAGACTGCCATTAGAGGTGCTTCCTGAGTCATTGCTGCACAGTGCATAGCACTGATGTTTAGCGTCTCCAAACCCTGTATGGAGACGCCAAACGTTCCTCATAGAGTTGCACTGATTTTTGCCGCGCATACACAATAGCCTTGCAATGCTTCCCTGTGAATTGGCGGAGATCATCAGCCACGGAGGCGAAGCCAGTTGCGACCAGACCCGCGCAGCGCTGGTAATAAAGGTACGTTCTATAACTTAATGGTAGCCAATGAGGGCCGGTCACCTAAAATGGGATTTTACACCTATGTCAGGAATACACAGTTCCTGACAATATAGTGTTCCTTTAAGTTGCATTGGTGTCTGAAGTGTCCCTTTAAACCTCAGTAAAGGTAACATGATTAAACCACGTTTGTTAGAATAGAAATAAGGGTTGTTGGATCCACCAATTTCCCTGGACACATCACCTACACATACTGATTGGCAGTCCATGAAAGGTGCTGCCCTGCAGTGAGTAGAATGAAACCATGATACCATTGTTGTGGACAAAAATATTAACTCAATTTATGTTAGTAAAATGCCTATTTACTCAGCATACCTACAACCAGCATTATTCAACTTTATATGTGATTTACCTAAAATTGCAGCTAGGGAGTTTCCCTTTGACATCGACTAACACCCTCACTAACAAGATGGTGCTGGAATCTGGGGGAGACCTCCAAATACCAGTGACATCACACCCGGTAGGAAGAGCAATAAATGAACCACTTAACACCTAAACAATTATTGATGTATTATTTCATGTTATCTCTGACAGAGCATATGATGTAATTTTGCTTTATAAGGGGCATGCCGTCCCCTCAGAATAAACATTCCTCAAGTTTTTCATTACCCCAAAACCTGTCTCTGGTGTGAATTACTTCAGGAGTGTGCACACATTTTTTTTTTTTTTTTAATTCTTTATTTTGGTTGTGCAGGTAGGTACATTTTATCAAACGCCACAATATGTGTTAATAGGATTGACAGTGGCATGGGAAGTTGCACATTTTTATAATTATGTGTTTAATCTTAACGCAACATGTGATCTTCAAAGATAACGTCAAATATGCATATAACTGAAGAATGTATGTTTTAAGCAGGCAAGATTCCCAACATATAGCGCAGATAAGCGAGGTTTGTAGACTTAGTCAGATTGTATTTAGCTATATATCAGAGAATATATAATGTTGAAAACATGTTTAGACTGTAATGCTAAATTACAATGTTTAACTGGTAAGCTGTAAACCACCCTGCAAACTCGTTAATAGAGGTGAGATATCTCCCAACCGTACATGCTTGTAGCCTGGCTGTTATCAGGTTAAATTATGTAATGACATGTAATTAGCCAGCATAGCTGTATCTGTACAATTGAATAATAAAACGAAAAGGGAAGAACAAAAAATGAAAATAATACTGCTTCTCTCTGTAGCAAGCTTGTGTCGGGCTAGAAGCACCCTCAAAAGCCAGCAGCTTGCATAAGGGCTAATACTCGTGATCGTCAAGTGGGGCAGTTAACGTCCAGGGTGTGTACTTCTCTTAGCGATCACGCTGTCCCAGGGTAGGTCTGATCCTCAGCCTATTCCCAGTCTGGGCGAGTGCAGGTCTGTGCTGAGGTGCTGAAAAGTTTGGGCACAGTCCGGTGGGTCCACGTATTCTTTTGCTTGTGTGCGCTGTGGTAGGTTTCCCTTCCATCTCCAGGCATGGGTGTATGCCAGCATTTGGGGTCCAGGGTTTCGGGACTGCCTGGGAGCTAAGCCTGCTCCCCTACTGGAGATTTTCAGCCGGTTTGGTCGGCATCTACCTGTTGTGCCTCGGGAGGTTTCAGCCTGTGATGGCGGTTTGTCGCTGCAGTATGGGTAGGAGGTTCTTTGCCCACAGGTGATTTCCCCTGCTTCAGCACTGTGCGGTTTCTTAACTCTGGTATGGGCTGTTTTAGCTGCTGTGTTCTGGCTTGCAGTTTGGCCCAGAAGGCATTAAAGATTTCATCCAGGTGCGGCTTGCCTTGTTCGATGTAGCTGTGAGCGGTTTGCTGCATGAGGCCCAGGCCCCACGTGTTGCAAGGGGAGGCTGTCGCCATTTTGGGTAAAGAGAGATGCAGCAGTGCCTCTCGGCTTGAAGCCAGATGCTAGGGTGGTGAGCTTTAATCCAAGCGTGATCAGCTAGGACTGGGATAACCCCCACCAGTCCAGGGGGGGGAAACGGGGTTCGAGTAGCCGCAGAGTCTGCTTAGTTACCGATGGGGAGGTCGGCCGCTCCTCCCTGTCGGTTTCTGAGAGGCCGCTCGTACCAAGTCAGTTCTTCGGTCCCTCAGTGCGCTCTAGTGTCGCAGAGTATAGCCGGCTCGTTCTTTGCACCCTCAGACCTCGGTCTGTATTTTCTGTGGTCGTCAGTGAGCTGTATTTCAGCGATTTTAGGTAGTGTGGAGAGCTCACCGACCGTGCGTCCGCTCAGTATGGCGGTCAAGCCCCGCCACACACACACACACACACACACACACACACACACATCTTTTTAAATTTGGCCGGGGGCAGATAAACAAGATAATCAATTAATTGATTCCACATCATTTGGCGCCCAACGTGGGGCACCGGATTTCGCCTGTTCGGACGGCCGGAAAACGGGACTGGAGCGGACCTCCGGAAAGTGGGACAGTCGGAGCCTGATCACCTCTTAAATACAGCGTTTTGTCTGTATTCTCCTGTTTTGTGCCGGTCTGTCTCCGTGTCCACTTCCAGCTTCCAGAAGGCTACAAGACAGGTAATGTCTTATCCGGTGCCTTTTTAAAACGAACCTGTCGATTGTCTATCTACCTCCTGAGTGTATGCATGTGTGTGAGACAGCTGGTGTGTGGTTTATTACTATTTTTGTTATTATAGCTAAACTGCCTAGCGGGCAGAGAACGCATCCGCCCGGTGAAGGGCTGGGAACCGCCTAGAGAAAGGCTGGGATCCGCCTAGAGAAAGGCTGGGAATTTTGCTGTACTGTTCAGAGTAGAACAGGGTTTTATTTGCTGTTTAGTCGTTACTATGCTCGTTGTTATACTGTTCTTTATTATTTTTTGGTTTCTGTTCAGTTATAGCCATAGTGTGGGTACCCTAGTTGTGTGTGTGTGTGTGTGTGTGTGTTTTGCTCATTCTTGATTTCGGATTATGTGCACATCTCTACATCTGTGACTCTTGTAAAAGTCTGTAATTAGTCTCTCCACGTTCAACTTTTCCCTATTCTCTACCACTTCTGTACTTGCTGCCCAGAGCTGTATTAGTCACCCACGCTCGCCTACTCAGATCCGTAGCCAGCATCTCGGGTGGGCAGATCCCGTGACTAGTCTACGTTTTGGGAAGATGCACGTGGATCAATTCCTCGTGGCAATCGAACACTGTAGACATTCCTTCTTTTTCTTCTCTCTCTCTGTGTCCCTCGTACGGGGGCAGCCTTGTTTGGTAAAAATGGGACAAGAACATGCCAGACCTTCTAAAGGCTATTTAGCTTGTGATATTGTTAAGGAGAGGGCAGGGGAAGAGGCTATGTTAAAAATGAAGAAGATAGCAAAGAGTTGTGGTTTTCAAATGTCACCCAGTGGTAGGTTACAACCAGAGTTTTGGAGGAAATTACTTGTTGATAAAGAGGGTTTGTTAGTGGATAATGGGTTAACGAAAGCCGTAGAGGCTTGGTATCGGGTAGCAAGGGTACTCAAGCGGGAGGGTTGGTCAGAGGAAGAACTAGATTTTGAAGGTCAAACGGTTTATGTATATCACAAAAACTTTTGCAATGATAATTCATCTCGATGTTCCCTGACCACCGCCATGATGGCACCCAAAGCATTGTGGATGAATCTTGCCCCGCCTCCCCCGTCACTACCCAGTCGCCACCTCCAGTTGGCGTAGGCTCATCTATCCCAACCCCTCTGTACCCAATCCTCAGGGCGGACGGATCTTATTATTACCCCGTCCCTCTCCCGCCTCAGGCCGCCATTCCCATTACCCCAGCCCCTCTCCCATTTCCCTCTGGTCCCGTCTCTCTTCCACCTTCCCTTGTCACTGCCAATCCCGCCCCTCTACTATCTCCCCCGTCACTTCTTCCGATGTCAACCCCCTCCTTCTACCATTCCTCCTATTCCTGCTCCCCTCCCATCTTCACCTGCTGCCTCCCCTCGTTGCATCTCCCTCTTCCATTACTATTCCCTCTATTCCTACTCCTCAGTTTCCTCATCACCCCTTCCATTCCAGATTCCCCTCCCCTTCCCACCTCCCACCCCATTGTCCCTCCCTCCTTTGATCTCTCGTCACTTATTTCCGCCCTCTCTGCCTCCAGTGCCACTCCCTCTACTCATCCACCTCCCTCTCCTCTTCCTGATTCCCATCCCCTTCCGGTCTCTAGCCCTGTTATCCCTCCTTCTTTTGATCTTTCGTCACTCGTTTCCGCCCTCTCCGCTCATTTGCCTCAGCCTACCATGCATGCCCCCTCGCCCGTTCCAACTCCTGTCTCCACCTCCCTCATGACAGCTCCCAGTTATCAGATTATGGTAGTTGGCTCGAATGAGTCTACCATGTCGGGACAACCTCATGCTGTAGACGTTTCTCCTGCAGCGTCAGGCTTCCATCCCATTGCCTCCCAGTTAGTTACTCCCCAGGCCATCGCTGTCGGTTCCCCTGGCACCAATGCTCCAGCCACTCAAGCCCCTAATTCGCCAGATGTTGCCAGCTATCGTGGTCTCCCATCCCCGGTCCCCCCCCCCGAGGATGACAATGTGCAGTGGCTCAGCCCATTCCGTCCTTCAGATAATAGGATTTCCCAGAGACAGGTCACCCATATCCATGCCTTATCAGTGGAAGGGGCTCCCCCGATGTATGTTATTTTCAATCCCTCGCAAGCTGCAACCCTAGTGACCTCCCTCCCCGACCCTGAGAAGCAGCCCATGCCCTTCTTCCGGAGGATTGCCCAGATTCGTAAAACATACTCAGCAGCCTGGCGTGATCTGTACAGTCTGTGTGAGATCAAGGCTGGGGATGCCTATTGGCCCATTATGGAAAGGAGTTTTAACGACGCTCTCCTCACTATCGACATGGATTTCCAGTCGGGCATTACTTTCTGTGAACAGCTTGGAGCCAGGGCTCAGGATAAGCTAGCTGACCAAGCCACTTGTATAAATGACATTATACAAGATAAACTCGAGTCCATGGAGAAGTACTATTCACGATTGACTCAAACTTTCTCAAACCTTGGGTTCAGTGTACACAACAAAGCACATACCCAGATATCTGCTGCCTTTGTTGCAGGCCTTAAGGAAGCCATCAGGAAAGGCCTAGTGCTCTCCCGTCCCGAATATAGAATTATTCCTCTGGATACTCTTACTGGTTGCCAAAGGTCTAGAGTCTGTCCTACAACCACCACAAAGGAAAAGTAACCCCCTTATGTTTTCCGCTTATAGCCCTGCCATCAGACCCGCCCATGTCCCCGCAGGATATCCCGTGTCATCAACCCTGCCAGCTGCACAGGGACAGCCCATGATACCTGCCCCTAGGCCTCAGACTATGGCATGCTTTAATTGCAACCAACTGGGCCATTTCCGGAGAGATTGCCCTCACCCCAGAGTGCCCAGACAGCTGATCACTAGACCGTCTAATCCTGTGTTCGGCTATCCTATGTACCCCAATGCCTCTGCAGCCACATATGGTTTTCCTCCACAGGTACATCCCCAGGCACATACTTCGTATTTCCCTCCTCAGGAATATGCCCAAGCTGTATACCAACCCTCTCCAGCTGATACCCGCAGCTATGCTCACCCTTCCCCTGATAGTCATGATACAGATGATTACCAACCAGATGACCGTCCTGTACCCAGTCAACATCGCCCTACACGCCAGACTCATCAGGCCAGTCACTCCACCACACCCACAAATCACTACACTGGCCCTGATTAATCTCATCTAGACCTTGTGCAATAGGTAACCGGCAAACCTGTGTCTAACACCCCTGTCATGGCAGTGTCTACAGGGGACAAAGGGGGGCATCTTGCCACAGTTGTCCTACCCGTTGAGGGTCATCCTACTACCTTTTTAGTTGACAGGTGAAGCCCGCAGTGATCTCAGAAAAAAAAAACCATGTCTGAACCATCTTGCTTATCTGCCACAGATGTCTTGTGTTAGTGTCGATGGCACCCCTAGAAACAACCCATTAACTAAGCTCTTGCGGGTGGGTTCTGACATACTCTTGCTTTGTTGTCTCTTCCACTTGTCCAATTAACCTTTTAGGTGCTGATGTTCTGTCCCATCTTCAAGCTTCTATCTTTTTCACTGCTGCTGGCCAGGTCCAATGATTAACCCCCCTTTCTCGCAAAGATACTTCTGCCCTCTGCTCTCTGCCATTACTACTACAACACATAACATCCCCCACCGAAGAGGTAAGGGTCCCAGATGCCCCCAGTGCCCTGGATAAGGTCCCAGCTAAACTTTGGTCCACGGGTCCTGATGACATTGGACGCCTACAAGTCCCACCTGTGGTAGTTACACTAATAAAGGGAGCTAATCCACCACGACGACCACAATACCCATTGAAGCCTGCACAAGCCCTCGCCATCTCAAAGCAAGTTGAAAGTCTATTGGCAAAAGGTGCTCTGGTCAAGTGTGTTTCACAGTGTAACACCCCTCGATTTCCAGTAAAGAAGACGACTGAAAAGGGCCAACCTGACCAATACCGTATAGTTCAAGACCGCCGCGCTGTTAATGATGTCACCAACCGGGACACTGCTGTTGTCACAAGTCCCTCCTACAGCTAAATTCTTCACTGTGGTTGATCTTGCCAACGCCTTTTTCAGCGTGCTCTTGGATCCCTCTTGTCAATATCTGTTTGCCTTCACATACGATCATCAACAGTATACTTGGACTGTTATGCCTCAAGGTGCACAGAATTCCCCAACCCAATTCGCAAAAGCTATGTCAGCTGTCCTAGAACCCTGGCAGAAGTCTCACCCCGACGTGGTCCTGGTCCAGTACGTGGATGATCTACTCCTCTAAGCAGATGATTCTTCAACTGCTGAACAAAAATCCGAAGATGATCTTTGTTTCCTCGCTGAAGAAG